ACTCAGCCCTCTGTGAATAGTAAACAGCCATCAGTGTGCTAATGATCCATTGTTAGGCTGATGGTCCTTCTTGATCATGTGAGCAGCTGGTTTTGGTTGTCAGCAGCAAACTGGTTGATCCACTCTGAGAAGGTGCTATTTATAAGACTGAGCTGAAAACAGCACCTCAGACTGAGGAAGTCTTTCAGATGAAAGATGAAACGTTTCTACATTTTTTTGTTGTTTTGCTTTGTTTTTTTTTTCTGAATGTCCAGAGGACCAGATTTAACTTTTTTAGATTTTTCTACCTGGATTATTGAGCATGCACCAGGAAATTCAGATACTTATTGTACTTTAAAAGTGTTGGTCTTACATAAAATGCACACATTTACTTGTATTTAGTTTTAAACATGTATGGCTCTCAAGGAATTACATTTTAAAATATGTGGCGTTCATGGCTCTCTCAGCCAAAAAGGTTATCTACCCCTGCTCTAGAGCAATATAGATATCCTAAATGGGATTTCCTGAAAGCAGAGAAGAAACGCAAACAGGACTCCAGTCAGCCATCAGGTGAAAAGGAGGAACCCAGACCCAGACCAGTGGTCATTCCGTATGTTGAGGGAGTATCAGAGAAACTGAGACGTTTATTTTCTAAACATGACATACCATGAGACTAGAGCAGGAGCAACAACCAGGACTGAATCAGCGGAGAAGAGTTCACCTCAGAACCGTGAAGTTAGGGGAGGGAGGAGGGGGGTTAAGACATCTGACACAATCGGCCCACCCCCCGCCTGCCCACTGTTCTGGCATCAATCAGTTTACAAATTAAGCCCTGGGCAGTATCTCAATGGGACTGATGGCGATTCAACTTGCAAGAATATAGATACATTTTTTGTTGCAGTCTCACTGAATTCTAAGTGTGACTCAGTAAAGAGACAGCTCTGTGGTCATATTTCAAGTAGCCAAGTTTGAAATATAATGGGGTTGTTTTTTTGTATCCAGGGCTTTCAAAACTGTATTCCAGGCTGTGCACATATTATTTCACTGTTTTGTGAGTTAGCACCTCAAACTGAGAGGTGTCTGAGATTAGTTTAAGATGTCCATAACTACTTTATGATTATCCATCCATCCATTATCTTTTACACATTTTGGGTCACGGGGGTCGCCGGTGCCCATGTCCAGCAGTCACTGTGTAAGGGGTGGGGAACACCCTGGACAGGTCCCCAGTCCATCACAGGGACACAGAGACAAATGAGAAACAACAATTCTCTCTCACTCACACCTAGAGACAATTTAGATTTACCAATCAGCCTAACATGCATGTTTATGGTCTGTGGGAGGAAACCGGAGTACCTGAAGAAAACTCACGCATGCACGGAGAGAACATGCAAACACCACCCAGAAAGGCCCCTGGACTGGGATTTGAACCAGAGACCTGCTTGCTGAGAGGCAGCAGCTCTATCATTTGTGCCACTGTGCTGCCCCACTGTATGAATATTTAAAGTGAAATTTTGTTACAGAAATTTTTAGCAAGTTCAGAACTCAAGAATCAATGCAGTAAGCCTCTGCAATGTGAGGAAAATGACTGGCTATAATTTTGGGACATTTTGGAGACTTCTTTGAGGATGTTTTTTACCAGTAGTCACAGCCCAGTGACAGACAACCTTTAGTCCTGATCCGGCATCTGCAGTACGGCCTATTCATTGACATAATTCCAGTCAATATTAATGAGAAGCATAAAAAGCACCTCTCTGAAAACAGAACATTAACAAATTTGTACCAACTTAAAGTATGAAGATGATCCTAGTCTTCATCCCCTGTTGCTTGAGCTTCACCATCCACTGCAGCATTCATCATGGCTCTGGGATCAGTGGAGTCAAACTTGGTTCAAACAGACTAAACCTCTTCCAACTTTTACCCTCTCTGTCTGATCTTCATAGTATTCTTCATCTGAGTGGAATTCTACAGAAAAAATATCTGACAGTCGAGATGAAAATACTTCAGTCTTTGCAGAACTCTTGTCAAGAGTCACTCATCTGCCATAGTGTTACTAATACCAGCTGAACACCAGGACACTCGCTCCCTAGGGTGACCTCGCCACCCCAAAAACACATAATGTGCAATTTGTTTGGTGAATTTTAAAAACTATATTTTTGTGAAACGCTTCAGAGAAAATCTAAATGTCATTACCCAGCTTTGTTTTATTACCATGTACAATTGTTACAAAAAAGAAATACACTTATGGCTAGTACTACAGGAACACTAAAGTCTTTAAAAAAATACCTAAAACCATCATAAAGGGTCCCTTGTACCTCGTTTTGGATGAAGCTCCTGTGACCCTCCAGTGAAGGAGGCTTGCTGAGCAGGAGTTAATGTGCTCTGATGCAGGGCTGAGTCCGAGTTTGTCCTGGAATAAACAAATGATATCTGATCAGAATGTAAAAATGAATATTTTTTTGTAAAAAACACAAATATTGCTTAATTATTAATGCCATAACTTTGTTCTGAACTGTCCCACTTGTTTGGGTCCTCGAAGCCTTGCAGTTATGGTTGCAAGTTTTTGGGTGGTGTTTGAACAGGCCAGGTACTTTTATAAACATCCATCCATCATCTTTTACCCACTTCTTCCATTTTGGGTCACGGGGGTCGCCGGTGCCCATGTCCAACAATCACTGTGCGAGGGGCGAGGTACACCCTGGACAGGTCGCAAGTCCATCACAGGGACACATAGAGACAAACAACCATTCACTCTCTCACTCACACCTAGAGACAATTTAGAGTTACCAATCATTCTAACATGCATGTTTTTGTTCTGTGGGAGGAAACTGGAGCACCTGGAGAAAATCCACACATGCACGAAGAGAACATGCAAATCCACCCAGGAAGGCCCCCGGACCGGGATTTGAACTGGCAACCTTCTCGCTGAGAGGCAGCAGCTCTACCAGTTGCGCCACCGTGCTGCCCGCTTTTATAAGCAGATAATCTGAATCTTATCAACGTACAGTAGTCCCTCGTTTATTGCAGGGGAGCCGTACCCTGAATCTCAGCGATAAGTGAAAAACCGCGAAGTAGG